ATGGTTATAAGAAGCTTCTCGCTGAAGTTGTTGCAGCAGAAGGGGGTAACTCTGCCTCATGGACATCTTAAATATTTTTATTTACATCTGTTGTTTTATGAGTAACCATATATGACTTGCAAACTAAGATTTGTCTTTTCCAGAAATAAAAACAAAACAATCAGGCGCCATTTTGTTTTAAAAAATAACTATTTAAAAAGTTCTCTTACTTTTTTTAAGGCAATAATCCTGATGTGGACAGTTTCTTTTGGGTACTCTTCAAAATGGGAAAGACAAGACAATATGCCGTATCTTCTAGGAAAAAAAAATCTACCAACTCTTATTGCCCATATTTGCATTCAGAGGGTTGTTAAAACATCTGTGCAAGCAAGTTGCATAGATAAAACTACAAATGTTATCATCTGTATAATTCTGACTAAAACATAGAAATACCTGTGCACAAATACATCCCAGCAATAAATTAAAAACGGTTCTGGCAATGTGTCTGTTCTCCACCATTTTTCCTCTTTTTGTCTTAGCTTTTCTGCAACACATTTTTTTACCCCCCACAATCTGTGTAAAGCAAACTGTTTTGGTCTTCGAGAAGGCCAAGGAATCCACACTGGCTATGATTTACATAAATTTACATAAGTATGGCAGGGGCTTCCCCTAAATGCAGACACTGTGCAAGAGCGACACTATTTGCACCTGCAAATACCTTTGTGCATCTGCCCGTGATTGAAGATATAGTTTTAAAAAAATTGATATTGTGACAAAAAAGACTGGATGAGGATTTGTTTTTCTGTGAGCATGAGCAGGACGGCAAACGGCGTAAAAAGAATATTATAGGAAAGTCATGTGAAAGATGGCTTCTTTTCACCTTCATTCATTGAAGATGTTTTCATTCTAATCTCATTAATATTTTATGTTGATACTGTGTTGTACACAGGCTGCTGGAATCCCCTTTGGACTGACACAATGCAGACCCAAATGGGTTACCGCATTAATGACTTTCCACACTCTGATGCACACAGTTACTGCAAAGTGGTTGTTGTGGTCAAACAAGTGTGCTCTGATGTGTGTTCTCTGAGTTGGAGTTTCACAGTTAAATCTGCTTAGGAGAGGCAAAAACCGTCTGGAGCATCAATCAGTTCCTGCAAGTTTTTCTCCAGCAGTTTTCACAGCACTGAGACATACAAAGTGGGAAGAATCTCAAGCACCTTTGCCTTCCAAATATAACATATTACTCTGAAAATTTCATGCATTTAATGTAGCCGAAGGCAGAGTCGCTCATGCACTTCGGTCTCCCTTAGGACTTCAAGTTGTTTTGTCCATTGGACCCTCTGCGAGCAACTGCCTAGTTGCAGTCTCTGACTAATTTCCTCACTGATAGTCAATCTCTATTTCCTACATGTTGGGATTCAAAACCAACAAGAAAAAAAAAAACAGACAGGATCTCAGGGCACAGACATGGAAAGGATGGTGTACGTGTGTGTGTGTGTGTGTGTGTGTGTGTGTGTGTGTGTGTGTGTGTGTGAGTTTGGGAACAACAAGGTCACTTCTAGCAAACTGTTTGGTTCTGTTGGCATCTTCAGGCTATGACCTTCAGTATCTGCTTCAGTAGCTTACAGGAGAGTTTAAAGCACCCAGGATGAGAGTCAACTCCTCTAAACTTAAGGTCAAATTTCTCCTTTGGAAAAAAAAAAGTGGATTATTTTCCTTCAGGTCAGGAGTCAGAAATTAAATCAAAATGAAGAGTTCAGGTTACTTGACTAACAATAGGTTGAAGCTCTTTATTTGTTAGTCTGCTGGCGTCTGCTTCATAACTGAACAATAACACTAGAAGTTAATGTTACCTTCTTCCATAGGTTGACAGGACTCGATCTTAGAGGCAGAGTGAGGAACTCAATGAACATTCAGTAACCAATCCTCTGCTGGTTAACAGTCTGGTAGTGTGGTTAATGAGCTATTAATTCACTTTCCATATGTGGTTGCGATATCTGAGGGACATTCGAAATAGGATGATTTAAAAATGCTCTTTTTTTTCAAATGGTAAAGGTACATTAGAGTTCAGAACATAAGAAAGGCTCAATGTCCGATGAGATTAACTGCATTGTCCCTGATGAAGGAAAACAATGCATTTAGGACACCTACAAAGCACAGGATATGCTCTGTCATAGATTCTTTTCTCCATTTTTATTTTACATACTTGACGTTACAGAACACAATACAAATATGGATTTTTTTATTTATTTTTTTTCCATGAAGATAACCCAAGTGAATAAAAAAAAGGACGTTGTAACACGTAATCATGATCAAAATCTGTTCCCATTTCCCAAAATAGAGCTGGCTTTAGCTCACCATTTAACTGACCGCAACATAACTTCACCCATTTCTTCTCACTACATATTCCACTAAATTCTTGCAGCAATTGAAAACCGTATTTGCATAAAAAAAAAAAAAAAAAAAAAAAAAAAACTCTGAAAACCACCCGTACACAGGGTTCAGCACCAGATAGTAGACTGGCAGGGCTTCCAGCTGTTTGGTGAAGAGCTGCAGCTGGAGCTACTTAAGTCAATACAATTCGCTGTGTTAAACCGTGTATGAATTTCAAGAGGTCATAAATTTTGTAACGACAGAATACTAATACACCTATTAGAACCTCGCCTTGACCAAATCCTGATTCCACTGTGTTGAACTAGAATTCACTCCAAGAACCACAAGCACACGAGCTTGTAAAATCTGTCAGGTGGGCCTACAAAGCGACTGGGCTGAGTCCTGCTGCTCAGCTGTGCACACAGAGATCAAAGAGCATCCCCCACCTCTGCTGCTCTGCTGGGACCAACACAGTTTTATCCTCCGGGGCAACAACCCAGAGAGTAAACATCACTCTGGGGACCCCTATTAGTATCTCATTTCCCTGGTCGCTTCCCATGATTTGGTGAGCTCACCCCTCCATTCACGGGCCAAACTGTCGTGGCAGACCACGCTTCCTTCTCCTTCGTTTTCTGTCTGCCGCCTCTTCTCTCTTTTTCTCTCGGCCGTCAGCGAGCTCGTAATTCACTCCGGCTCACGCGCTTTCTCATTGTCCTCATTCATTAAGCTTTTTGATGTCTTTTTAGAGTAAACTCCACTTCAGCAGTATTTCTCTTTTAACCCAGAACAGTGAATCATCTCCTCTCTTCTTTTTTTCATCCGACTCCCGTGTTTTGAATCATCCCGTGGTTTTGTCATCTTCCTTCCTCTTGTTCTACCTACTTCACTTTTCTGTTGTGTCTTATGTGTAAGTCAACTCAAATCCCACTTTATCTTCTGAATCGTTGTTGATCTTGACAACCATTTCTGTGTCTCCTCATCTCTTGCTCCTGCTATTGCTCATCTTGGCAACGCAGAGCCCTCTCAGGCTGGTTCGTGGCTGCAGGCTGTGTCCTTGAGCAGGGGTTAGTTGGGTTTCTCTCGTCTGAAGGGAATATCTTGCTGTGAGTGAGGATGAGAGAAAATGTTTTTTTGCTAATGTATACACCTCAAGGACACGTGTGGTTTGCGTGTGGGCTTTCAGGACATAAGGAGGAGGGGCCATGTATGTTCTTTCCTTCCAGTGATTGCCCTTGACGCGCACACAAGAGGCTTGTCACACACCTGACTGCCTACATTTGTATTTGGATGGGATCTGTCCGTGTGTGTGAGTGTACACGCGTGCGCGCGCCGGCGTCGTCTTTCCTCAGGACAAACATCCGGCCCTGTTATAAATGGGCTTAGTAAACTGACACTGATTGCATTCAGTACAAACAAAATGCATGCGTGACTGTGCCTCTGAATCAACGTACCAATGCATGATGAGCGGAGCGGCGCAACATTTTTTGGGCCAAGATGGCTACGTTTGACCTGAATCGCTTCACGTGGAGAGTGCTGTGCGGAGGGAGGAGGCAGCGGAAACTCGTGGTACGGCCAACACCTCAGCATTGAAAAATGTATTCATTAACCTTAAACTATTTAAAACAATACTTCAACAAACTTTACAAAAATTATTGAGAATGCATTAGTCAACATTCTTTTGTTGCAAAGTCAATGGCAAATCCTTTGGCGAATGTCTCCACCAGCTTTGTACATCTAAGGTGACATTATGTCTATTCTTTTTTGTAAAATGATTCAATTTCTGAATCTGAATTGGAGTTTCAGCACACACACAGTTTGGTGTACAGGCCAGTCAGTCTCAAATGACCCGAGTATCTTTTCTACTTGCTTGTTGTTTTGTCCTGCCTGGCTCGTCTTTCGGACACTCTTGCAAAACCGACAGAACCTCGAGTGTAAAACTAGTAATGTTTCCGTCAGAAGAGACTCCCACCTGAGCTGTTCAGTCTCGGTGGACGGCCATGTTTTTTTGACAGTATTGTCGTGTGATTGTGTCTGTTTTCAATGTTTTTCTCCCCCCAATGAAAATGTTGCTATGGGGACACTGATAAAGTTGATACTGATGCTTTGGCATATTTGAGGTTTTGCCGTAATCTTGCATGTTTTCCATTGACTATTGGTCAATGAAATGTATTATGTTGTTGTTTACTCAATCCCTCATCCTTATCCATGAGCTTATGTCAGACCTGTTCACTGTGTTCCTTGTTATCCATGACAATGTTTGTCCTCTCATGTTCTCATAACAATTGTCTGAGGTCATTTCAGATTTGCTGTGTTTACATTGAAATTAAATTAAATGCAGCTAGATTCTGTTATTTTAGAGAGCCTGTGACCCTACGTGGGGGGAAAAAAGCCCCTTACCACTTAGCTACTAAGATCATTTGGACATTCAGTGTTAGTCTATCACTCACAATAGCAAAAAAATAAGAAGCATTGAAGTACAACAAGTGGAACAGTTCCTTTGTTCTGATTGACTATAACAATAACATGCACCTCCAAGTGGGAAGGACAGAGAGCTGTTTAAAGCTCATTGGGGGATGAGAAGTTTGGTTTGTCGGCTTTCTGGAGAACTTTGCCAAGTAGAATGAAATTCAAAGTCAAGAACCCACCTGAGCGTTTTGGTGGTCATGTCAGCTCCTGTGATCCCATGATACACCAGCGTTTCATTCCACACTGGGTTCAGGGTGTTTTTCAGAGTTTTTGTGCGTAGCTTGTTTGCCTGCAGAGGAAAAGCAAAAGGGAGAGAGAGAGTGAGTCAGAGAATTTGACAGATCTGGAAAAAAAAAAAAAGAAGAAGAAGAAGAGCGAGGAGTAGTAGTTGTGGCCAATTGGATCAGACTTATCAGATTATGGTAGCGGAAAGGAAATAAATATTCATCCAAACAGTGTGAAAACATTTTAAAAAAATAAAGAAGAAGGATGGTTAAAAAAAGAGTGAATAGGATATAATTTATCTCATTCCCTGAGGAAATTGCTAACATCTGCTGAAACTGAAGGAGACGATGCAAGGCGTCCCTCATGTCTCATTTCTATCATGCGACATAAAAGTGAGCTCTAGCTAAGAGCTACAAAAACGCTGTTTCAAATAAAACTAAACGTGGCAGCTAATTAAAAAGTGCAGCACAATCATTATGAAAGTTTTTCACATGACCAAGTGGGTTCATCAGTTGATAAAGCTTGTACTCTCTCGTCCAGTTTCCAACACTGCTTTCATTTGAATTATTATTTGCACTTTTATTGATTCACACAATTTAATTTTCTCAAAGGTCTAGGGTCAGATGTTCACCTTTACACTATAATTACAAAATCTTGTTTCAATAATACAACAGAGGAAATTGTGAAATTGTCTTCTTGGATATAGGATTTAATTTTTTGACTATTAAATGAGTTTTCAGTGACACACCCTGAAATAAAAATAAGATCTGACACTGCGTCTGCATGTTCACATACTATAACTTCCTTATTTTCCAATTCACCATAATTAACATTTGATGCAATTTGTTATGAAAATAGAGATGTAAAAAGAGAATAGCAAAGAAACTGAAAGGTTTACATGTACACCAAAAGGCCATGAAAATCATATTGATTTTTGACAATTAAGATGAATGCATTTGAGCCGTTATTTTTCAGGGTGGAACTAAAATATAACGCACAACTCCAGTTAATTTAAAAAAACATGAACTGGGTGCACAGATTTTCTTTAAACCAAACACGGATTTCAAACAAAGTTAATAATAAAAATTTAAATACACCTCCACCAACACTGTTCCTTAGAAAATTGCACTGGGGTCACGTACTTTTTGGAGTTTCCAGCTTCTTTGGTAATTCTGAGACTTTGGATATGACTAGGCTTTTAAGCACAGATTTTCAATATGGTTGATTGAGGTCAGAACTTTGGGAAGGCCGTTCCTTGCTCTATCTTTTCCAAATATTGATCATTATTCCATGGGAACGCCCATTGGTCTACTCACATTTAACCATTAGACCGCAATTGTCACCCTCAAGAAAAAAAAAAAAGCTAATTGAATAAGATCGCCATAAATCACAAGGTTCAAGTTGAAAGTGCTTCTCACATTAAAGCAAGCTTTACATCACCCAGAATACTAATCCTACAAGAAAATCCAAAACTGACAAGATCCACTTCATCAAAAATATAGCTTTTCCAACTGAAGAAATACATTTGTGAGGGTCAAAGTACGGCTTTAAAGTCAAAGACCATCGTACCACCTGTCAAGCACAGTGGTGGCAACATCTTTCTATGGGGCAGTGGAACTGCTTATCCTCTAACGTTGATAGAATAATACAATTACTTGACTTCTTGCAAGTAATTCAATTGCAAACCAATACAGTGAATGCATTGCAGAGGGTGGACTCACTGTCCTGTGTGTTTCTGGTGCTTTTCTGCTGTTGTACACAGGCTTAAATGAATGGGTGATTAACATGCTTGTGCATCAATTGGAGGCATGTTAAAGAGATAATGAAGTCAATTCAATCCGTTGATCTGGAGTAGGGAAGCATTTAAAACATGCAGCACAGTGTAAATACAATGTCCATGTATGATCAAGGAGACAGGTTTAAACAGTCCACAGTCTGTATGTATTTACGTCATACAATTTATAAGAGATATTGGGTCAAATAAATGATTTATGTGCCAACTAACGTAAGAGACGCCACCCATCCTTTTTTTATGCGACTCCTGCTGATGTCAGAATCTCTAAAAACAAACGCCCCAGCCCCGCTCTCCTTCTCCCTCTCTGCCACCGTCAGCCTCCTGCTCCAGTGCCTCAGGGCCAGATGCTGAACCCTGCCTGACATCTTTTTGCTGTTTTTGTCCTCTTGCATCCCATTGTTCTGTCAATTCTGCCTTTTCCTCCTTTCTCTCTCCTTTTCACATAACGTCCCTCTCTTTATTGTTGGTCTTTTTATTTTTCCTTCTCCGGAAAACTTCTTTGCTTATCAGTTAAAGCCAGCCCCTCGCTGGGGAGAAAAACATTTTTCATTCATATTATTTGTCTCAGTGATTAATGAAAGCAGCACGAGGACCTGCTCGTTCTCCAGAAATCTTCTTCATTTGATTGAGGTTTTCTTCACAAATATCTTGCAGAAACACCAGTTCCCTGTCCTTTTCAGCCTCTATTCTCCCTCTGTTCTGGTGATTTGCATCTGTTCCTAAATGTTTCATCGCTAACCTTCCATCTGTCCATAACAAATTCTTTCCTTTTCTCCATCTGTCTGCATGATTTTTTTTTTTTTTACTTATTTATCTCACAGACTTCCTTACTCAGACCTTCCACCCTGGAGCTGTGATGAGCAGACCCCGGCTGTGAGTGTGCATCTTCCGCCCGGGATGGGAGCATGAAAAATACCAGAGACCGTGGTGGCACCGAGTATCACTGTGCCAGTGTTTATGCAAGAAAGGAGAGAGGCGGTGGTGGAGAAGAATGGAGGAAGGAGGGGTTAGCTTCTCTGCATGGCTGTGACTAAATCCTTAGCATGTGTTTGCACGCACACACGCAAGGTCACACAGCGCATGTGTTGCACTGAGTGTCGTACATCACAAGACAACATGCTTGACCGTTCCCTAATGAAGGAACCCGCAAATGGGAGACGAATGGGAAGAAGGGGAAAGGCGGTGGGTGAAGGGGGGTGGTCACAGGAGATGCAAAACAATTTCTTGAGAGCTTTTTTATTTTTATTTTTATTTTTTCATGGATGCTGGATTTGGATTAGTCATCGCAAAGTGCGCACACAGAGTGGACGGGAGGTGGATGCGAGTGGAGTGTCCGTCATGCTCACCTCAAGTGACGCGCTCCATCAGCAGCACTCCGTCTGGTCTGCTGATTTTTTTTTTTTTTTTTTGCAAACACTGGTTCGTTGTAACTTCACCGACTCATTCGTGCCCCTCCAACCAGCAACACCACCTTTCCCTCCACCCCGACCACCATCCCCTCCTCCATCAACACTCGCCTGTTGACGTGAGCCGTGTAACAATCCTCCCTGTTTCCATGACAACCACCTGCTGCTGTCCTCCCCTCGTCTGTCTCTGTCCCCCTTCTCCCCCCCTCCTCTCTCTCTCCCCTCCCACTCAGTTGCCCCCCTACTCCCCCTACTCTCCCTCTCCTCTGCTCACTGTTGGTATTTCAAGGTCAGAGAGGGGCAAAAACAGATGGTGCGACGGAAGCAGAGATATCTTGTTGGAAAGTGGAGAGAGAGAGAGAGAGAGAGCCGATAGCGGCGCACCGGGAAGCGTGGCGCGTCACAAACCTACAGGTTTAGTTTGTTTCTTTCTTGCTTCTCACACCTCAGAGTTCAGTCATGCTCTTTGCTTAACCTTAACGTAACTCGGCGTCCCTCGCACCTACCATAGCCCCCGCCGGTCCGAGTCAGCCTAGAGCTGAAATGGCTGACAACAGGTTGTACCCTGCCGCAACCCGGGGGGTTTGGGTGGTGGGGGGGGGAGGGGAGGGGTGCCGCTGCCGCCGCTGCTGCTGCCAATGTTGTGGCAAGCTTTATCTTTCTCGCTGCTTGAGCTGAAAATGAGACAAGAGCAGGGCAGCCGACCATAACGTGTTTAGGCTCGATAAAGCGGAGGACTGGGTGAACTCCTGCCAAGTGGCATCCAAGTGAAAGGCTGAATTTAACTCGGTGTCATGTTTTCGTGAATGCTTGACACCCTTGTGAAAACCCTTTCATGGCAGGTAAACACCTGGGAAGGCAGAGTTTTAAAAAGGGATTGAGAGCAGATTTAGCATGTTCAAAACCAGCAGGCAAATGATGACACCATTACAAAAATATTAAACTTTTTCCCACCAGTTCTGAGGTTAACACATTCACAGCAAATGGGTTTGGAAGTAGTGCGTTACAAGACACAACTGAACATTTTTGTTTTCATTTCTGCAACAATTCATTGTTTTTCTTTTGGCTCCAGGTTAGTTTTCAAATTCATTCCTGTTTTATATGAGGCCTGGTCACTTTGTCTTGTACCACTTCCTTTTTGTGCCAATAAGGAAACCAATATTTATTTTATTTTTTTTTATTTTTTCCGAGTGTAATTAAGTTAAACTGTATCAAATTTGTGTTATAAGTTATGGAGTTGTTCATTAAAATGGTAAAATATCACCATTTTAATGTATTAATCTGTTATCTTCTGAGAACACCTATTAGACCTTATTTACATTCATTTTGGTTCTGTTTTACATTTGGGGCAGTTAAAGCTCATACGTGATGACTAATTACGAATCCAATCCAAAATAACAGTGATTCTTGAGAATAGGGACAAAACAGGTCCTATGGATAAAGCATGAAATTTGAATAAAATATACACAAAATAT